CCCAAATCAGACACTAAACACCCAAAGAGAAGCAGAGAACATCTTATTTGCTACGGACTGAAAGAGCCCCAACCCCTTTGGTTACCCACCCTTTGAGATCCTGAAATTTGCCTGTGGTCAGTCAGTACAACAGCCCATGGACGTGCAGGAAGCTACCCTCATTTTTGAAGACCTTAAATTGCTCTTAATGTAATCCAGTTAGGTCTCAGATGGTTAGTATATATTATGCTTATTAGCCAAGATACATGTAACAGGCCCGTGTCCGTTCAATAAGGCCTGAAGGGGAGCCAAATCAGCTCACCTCTCCCACCCAAATGGCATAGAAGGCAACCTGGTTTTTGGTTAGGATGGTTAATGTCTATCAATCCAACACTTCCTGACAACTCACACCAACGTAGGCCAGTGTTTCTGTAGTTTCCACTGGAATCAGAACATTACGATGGAATTGATCATCACAGCAGGCAACCGGCACCTACTCTTATTTTGCCCCACTCTGTATTACTTAGATATTGGGGTTGTGAGGCTGACAAGATGATATATTGTGTTATGCATTCTGCTATATAGCTACCAAAAACCAAACCCACTGCCACTGAGTCGGCTCAGAGTGAACCCGTGGGCTTCCAAAGCTGTCTCCCCACCCTCCCCGCCCCAAGACTGTAAGTCTTTATGGGAATAGAAAGCCTTCTCTTTTTCCCGAAGAGCAGCTGGTGGCTTTGAACTAAAGACCTTGCAGTTACCTGCCCCAAACATAACTATGATGCACAAAGGCTCCTAACACACAGCAACAGTACTCAGATAGCCTGGCACAGATGGAACCATCGCAGACAGAGCTACAGTCTAGAAATAAGCCTGCCTATCCATGGTCAACTGCATTTCTAACTAGGGTGCCACGTTCATTTGATAGGGCAAGATGTCCACAGGAAAATGAAATGAGATCCATGCCTTATACCATACAGTAAGACACGTTTAAAACAAGGACCCAGATGTGCAAACTAACCCCACGAAAGGAGAATAAGCAGTGACGTTGCTGTCTGGTCTAGCTCCCAACAATAACAGAAGCACAGATAGGAAAAGACAATAAATGGGACCCAAAAAGATAACTAGAAATATTTGCGTGAAAACACAAGCCACACACTGGGGAGATATTTTTGGAAACCATGTATCTATCTGACAAGAATCTAAAAATCATAGTATGTAGAAAGCTCAAACAAAAGGCCAAAACCCAATCATAAAATGGGCAAAGGACTTGAATCAACTTTTCACCAAAGAGAACATTCAAATGGCCACCAAATAGAAGAGATGTTCAGTGTCGTCAGCCATCAGAGAGCAGCACATGGCAGCTAGTTCATTCCCACTAGGATGGCTAGGATAAATAACAAGTGTTCACAAAGATATGGGAACATGGGGAACAGCGATCCCTGAGAAGAATGCAGAATGCGACAGCTGCTGTTGAAAACAGTGTAGCAATCCCTCCACAAAATAAACAATAGAACTACCGTATGACCCAGAAATTCTACCCCTTCGTGGACACCCCAAAGACTTGAGAGCAGAGATTGAACCTTGAACACCCATGTAGATTGCAGCACTATGCATAGTCAACAGGCAGAAACAACCTAAATGTCCATCAACAGACGAATGGATAAACAGAATGTGGTCCATCCGTACAATGGGAAGTTACTCAGCCAGTAGGAGACATGCAGTCTAAATACATGCTATAGTATAGACAGTGCTTATCGATAACATGAACAAAATAATCATCAAAGAGCAAACACTATATGACCCACTGACATACAAACAAGACAAGGCACATATACAGAGACCAAGGCTTACTAGCGGTTACCACGCGCACGAGGGAGAAGAGGATTAACTGGGATGGAAAAGTAGTACGAAGGGTAGGGTTGCAGAGCCCATTGCTGTAATTGCCAATGAATTGTACATCTGAAAATAGTTGAACGGAAAAAAAGTTGTGCTTTATTTACCAGACTGATGAGTCCCTGCTGATGCGGCTTACGCACAGACAAATACTTTATGGTATTTGGTGCCTTGGTTCAGAGGTTTAGGGTCATGGTTTCATGGGACACCTTGGCTAATTGGCCTAATAACACGTTTAGTGTTCTGTTCTACCTCCTAATTTGCTGTGTAGTGCCTGGGCTCTTAAAAGCATACAATTGTCCAGGACACAGCAAATGGTCTGTATTCACCGGGAGCAACAAAGGAAGGAAGAGAATCAGGAATAGGAGGAAGATGTGGAACCTGTGGTCGACTGTACCCATGAACCGCTTCCTTTGCCAAGGGACTAGGCTTGCATGGTGCCTGGATCTCATTTTTGATCAAAAGGGGGGAGATGTAGAACAGAATTTCAGATGCTCGTAAATTCTAGACTTTCTGGAGCCATGGTGACAGGATATACTTTGAACACTATTGCCTTGAAATAATCTTTAAGCCATAAACCAAGAATATGCCCTGAAACCTGAAAACCAAACAGTAGTATAGCTAGTACACATCTGCTTGGAGCTTTAGGCTCATTTAAGAACTACTTATTTGGGATCAAATTTACAACAGCAATGTGAAAGATTAGATAGGACAGTTAGGGGCCCGGGAGTTTATGTTAACGACTTAGAAAAGGCGGGGGCCTGGTGGCACCACCTGAGGAATGCCATCAATGGCACACTGGCTGGTGGTGTAGCAATGGTCGGGGGGGTCCATGCCTTGTATTATCAAAATAAAATTTAGGGGAGGAAAAAAACCAGCCTTCTCAAAACCTATCCAAAAACACTATTCTCAGAATTGAACAGCGCTCGGAGGAGGGAAGATTGGGGGTCAGTACACACCTGGGAGGCCCGGTTTAAGTTGGGATGCTTCAGGAGGGGGAGTGCACAGGGGAGTACAGGCCACAGGATACCGGGGCCACCACGGTTTAACCAAGGCAGTGGCTTGACCCTGCAGATGCCTCACACACCAGCAATCACTTGGGACTGCTCACAGCAACTCCTTGGTTTAGAGTAGAAGGGATTCGACCCCTAGCGCAGTGTAGGATTCTTTATAGTTTTTGCTTTAACCAAGTGTTTGAACTTTGTCTTACAATCTCATAGAAGCACAACCTTGTTTACTTCCTAGACCTGTAACACACACTGCTGTGAAAACGCACCGACTGGACACCGTAAGCTTGTTCCTCAGAATGGAGGCTGGCCCGAGCCAACACTGCTGGTTCACACAGCTCCCTCCGAGGGAGCCCCCCTGCCAACCAACGAGGTGCACGTGTGTCCGTTTTACGCGAGTGGGGTTGACAGCCCCTTGGCAGCAAAGGTGGCCTTAGGCTGCTTCCACATTTGAAGCAGTCAGAAATTAGGTTTGTAATCGCTTCGTGCCCCTTAGGAATGCCATCATTTCCGTGCTGCGAGTGGCTGGTTCTATGCTAGGGGGTCAGCAAACAGCCTGTGGACCCAATCCAGCTGCTGCCTGGCCAAATGCTTTAGTGGAACACAATGGAGTCGGCTTAATGGCGACACCCACTGGCTTGTAAAGCTGAAACGATGCGCTTCCTGTATGCTCTGTAATAAACGGTTTGCCCTCCCCTGGACTAGAGTACTAAGTACCTCTCCAAGTGCAAAGGAGTGTTAGTATGCAGGCATAGCGAGTAGAAGGAATCCCCGAGGACTTGCGGAGAGGAAGCTGCACGGTGAGGAAGAAAACGGCAGTCCCCTGGAGCAGTCCCCAAACCAACAATCCCCAACCCCCCTTGATGGACTCCTAGTGCCCCTCCAGGACAGGGTGGACTGTCGCGAAGGGTTTCCACGGCGGCAAGGCTTTACGGACGTAGACGGTCACATCGTTCCCCCTACAACAGATGGCAATTCAAACCAGGCCTTTCAGTTCAATGCTGAGCACTTAATTACTGCGCCACCAGGGGTCC